TGCTGGCACGCCCGCGCACAACCGCACCGCACCCAAAAGCAGGAAACCCCGTGTTAACGCACGTCCCCTCGGCCCGGAACTCCAGGCCGTGAGATTTGCGCGGCAGACATAGTTCAGGCCGTGAACCTAACAGCCGAGATCAGTTCCTCTCTCGGCTACAATCGTTTGACCAGGAAGACAGATCAAACTGGTGCACCACTTATCCATCCACCACTCATCAACACATCGACGCACGGTAGACCGTGCTGGCACGCCCGCGCACAACCGCACCGCACCCAAAAGCAGGAAACCCCGTGTTAACGCACATCCCCTCGGCCCGGAACTCCAGGCCGTGAGATTTGCGCGGCAGACACTTTTGGCACGCCCAGTGGGACCTTTGTCAAAAACTTATGGTGGAAACTAGGGCACAGGCAAAGCTCAAAAACAAAGCAGTCGAAATGATTTCTGAGAGTCCTGAGTCCATCTCACCAATCACAAGTATTGAGACCGAACATACGGTCCTGATCTCGGCCAGCGTTCCAGTAATGACGGATCTTACGGCCGAGTCCATACAGGAACAAGCAGTAATGGAGGATTTGATGTCCAGGCAGGCTTGCAGGATGGAGACGTCCTTCATGGCCACGATGGACAGATTCTCTTCAGAGCTGCGAACGCTTTCCCAAGAAAGAATGCCGGCGACTTCGCCCGCAACACCCCCTGGGGCCGGACATAGAAGCCAGGAACGTGAAAGGATTGAGTGTTACGGCGAAAGCGGCAACCTTGGCGTCTTTTCCCGTACCCCAGCGTTAGGCTACGGCCAGCATTCTTTGCCGCCGACAAACGGCTGGGGGCAGTCCCAGCCCTCAAGGGCGAGTCCCGAACCAAACCAACCGGCAAAGAGAGCATGTAGCCCGCTCCACGCTCTAGCCAAAGCATTCAGGAGGAGTCCTACGGTATCTACAGCCGAGCAATTCGGCCCAACCCATACTTTGGCCGATCAAGCACAGTCCGGCCAAAGCAGTATGACCGAAGCGTTACCACAATAGTGTGAGCAAAAAGGCATGACTGTTGCACTATCATTGCAAATACACGATTCGGCCATTCAGACGACAATGCAAACGCGCCTAGGTTCCCTTTGTGATACAGATCAGCAGAGTCAGGTGACCATACCTCGATGGCCAGCCAACCGAGATTATCTCGGCCAAGTCTACGGCGTTTCCCAGAGACTACCTGGCTCGGTCAACGCCGCCGAACCCTCTGTTCAAACAGCCCAGCCGGGATGGCTGCGGAACGTTGCGCAACAAAGTAGGCCTGTTCAAGGGTTTCAGTTTGAAGACATCCGGCCTATCGTGAAAGACGATTTAAGAAAGAGAGAGCTGGGGGTACCAGATTACCCAAGGCCGCATCTGTCAAAGGAACTTAGCAATGCGCACGATTTATTTCCTAAGGTTTTTTGGGCACGCCGTATCTCAGAAATTTCGGCCGTGGGTATAACCCCTTATGTCTTGGCCAACGGCCATGACCCTGGTAAAATATCAAAGCAGAAGGTTCGTTTTCCTCAAAGTACCGGGCAACATGGCCAAGAGAAGAAGGGCCACTCGCAGATAAGGCCCAGGAGCTCAGAGAATTCAGAACAGTCGGAACTCGACGCCTACAATTCGGCGCAAATTCAAAAGAAGATGGAGCCGAGGACCTACGACAAAAAAGTCAAAAAGAAGAAAAGAGGAAGGTAGGCGACCAAGGTAAGCGAACGGCGCGGTCAAAACAAAACAACAACATACATCTAGCTTTTCAGAAAAGAAGGCCCTTGTATTTAAACAAAAGGGGGGCATTATTGACAAACAGAGAACGGCCAGCCACGGCCGAAATAAAACAAAAGATAAACTATGTGTAAATAATTTAAAATTGTATGTGGTTATTTATTTACATCCCAAAAAGAAAAAAAAATAGTTGAGATGGTCGCTCTTCGCCCTCTTAGACCCCTTCGCTGAACATCCCCCAGATCAGGCAGGTGATCCTTCTCCAAGCGATGTCCCCACCGTTGATGTCCGCCTGCCATCTCGCTCGAATCAGCTTCCGCTCGGCCAGGGCCTTCTTCGTCTCAGTCGCTGCTTTGAGGATTCGCTTGGCCGAGGATTTCAGCTCGCTTCCGGCCGCGACCGCGCCATCTCGGCGTTGGAGGATGAGATCTCGGCGAGCCTGGAGCTCGGTAATCTGGGCCTCAACCTCCGCAAGCTCTTCATTCTCTCGTTGGACGACGAGGTCATTTTCTTTCAATCGAGCCATTGCAGGATGAACTTGTTCTTTAATCGCCTCCAGATCCTGCTCGAGCGAGCTCCCCTCGGCCATCCGCGTGACGGCTTCAGCATACCGGCCGATCATCTCCTCGCCTTCGGCCAGACGGGCTTGCAGTTCATCCAGTTGAGCCGAGTCGAGTAGACCGAGCGCCATGGCCGTATCCAAGCAGGACCTAAAGTCCGAAATCGACCCAGCAGCGGTCATCTGCCGAACATAAAGGAGAAGGAACTCCCGGAGCCATTCAATGACGGTCTTGGAATCCTCGTCCAGAGGAGCCGAGGTCGAGCTTCCCCCTTCCTCATGGAGGCTGGCGTATAACTCATCAAGATCGTCGGAGGAGGTGGTTTCCTGAACATAAGAGGGAGTAAGGGTAAGAGATAATTAACTAGGACATAAAGGGATAAACAAAAAGGAGGCCGAATACTCACGGGGAGCGAAAGGTCGGTCATCACCGCCGAAGTAGTTCGCAGGAGGCTAGGCACACTCACGACCGTGGCTCTAGTCATCACTGGCTCGGCCACGACCGTTGGGTCCTGGAACGACGGCATAGGCGGCATGGTCGCGGCAACCATGGCCAGCAGCGGCGACGATTGGGGAGGCTAGAGACAAACAGTTCGGGCGAAAGGAGATCAAAAGTGTAGAACAGATCAAAAGAAAATAATAAACCCAAGTATATTGAAAGTGGATTCTTACCGAGCGAAAGGAGATGCCGCTTGGGCGACGAGGGGTGGACGTCAAAGGCCTACTTGGCACGTCCATAGCAGGTTCTTCGGCGGCCTCATCGGTTACTTCCTCAGCGGCCTCTTCATTGGCCTCCTCGCCACCCTCGTCGGCAGCCTCTTCGGCAGCTCCCTCAGCGGCCTCTTCGGCGACTTCCTCGGCGATCTCTTCGGTCGCCCCCTCTGCAGCCTCCTCGGCGGGCGGCACCTCTGCGGGCGCCATCTCAGCATCTTGCGCCTCGGCCCCTTCGTCGGCAGCGGCCGCCTCCTCAACCGTTGCCCCTCCCACTTCTTCGGCCACCATATGGGCAACAGCCGTTTCCGTCATGGACGGTACCTCGACCTCCTCCTCGACTATTACCACGTCCTGAGGAAAGAACCAAATTACCATAATGCACAAAAAAGGGAAAAAAAGGATGCCAGGGAGTGGTACTTACGGTCGCAGGAGGGGCCTCACTCACAGTCGCGGAAGGAGCCTCCTCTTCACCTCTGCCCTCCGAGGAGGTAAAAAGGGTCCTCTTCCTCGGCCGCTGCACGGCCGCCATCTCGACCGCGGCACTCTGGGCTGGCGCGGCCTCAGTACCTGACGTCTCTCGACTCCTCTTGCGACCCGAGGCTGTGTATACAAGGAAAAAAGACAAGAGTCAGATGACCAGAGACAGAAGTGGTTTAGAGCGGCCGGTGAAGAATAAATGATAAAAAGAAAAATAAGCAGGGCCTACCAGCAGCAGTGGATGGTCGAGACGTTGGGGAGGCCGGCACGGTCCTCTGCGCCAGCGTCTTGCGAACCCCCACCACAGGCGTCACCCTGGGAGCTGGGGCCATGGTCGATGATGGGGCCGCGGTGGAAGCCACGGCCGCTGATCTAGCCAAGGGAGGGGCCGGTACCCTGGGGGTGACCACGGCCGGGGCACTTGACCGAGGCAGCCCAGCTGATACCTTCTTCACGTTGCTGCCCTTGGGGGTGAGAGGGTCCCAATCTGCATTCGTCAGGGCCGCCCTCACGGCCTCTTCAATAGGCCGAATAAATCTGGTCGAGATGCACTCCTCATACCAGACCCTTCCATCCTCGTCATACGCATTGCGGCGCGACCAAGGCGTCAGAGTCAGGAAGGTCCCTTCCATCTTCGTCATACGCATTACGACGCGACTAGGGCGTCAGAGTCAGGAAGGTCATCCCCTGTTGAAGCTGGAAGGTTATGCCAGCGACGCCGTGCTGCTGAGAGACATCGGCCCTCCAGGACGAGAGCCGGTTGGTTGACAGAGGAGGGAGTGGGGCCGTCAGGATTAGGCAGAACTGTCGCTGGCAGATAAACCTCGGCCCCGGCCTTGGACAAGCCGCAGTGAAGGTCGCGCGAAACCAGGAAGGAGCCCCAGATCTCCTTCAGATCGTTCTCCGTCTCAACATCAGGAATGACGGAGAGGTCGTGGGTCAGGAACAGAGGGAACGGCCGAGCAAGGCAGACTCGGAACTGCGTACCAGTTCTCTCGGCCAAGCTGTAAAAGAATTTGTAGCAGAAGGGCATGACATTATGCTTCTTGGGGGCCCGAGCAAATGCGTTGGCCAGCGGCTCGGTGTCTTGGGGAGCGGCCACTCCCCTCAGCTCGGGGAAGTAGGCCTGCAGCCAGAACTGGAAGGCCCACAATGGACCACCGTGCTTCGGCTTCATCCCATCGGTAACGATGTCATGAAGCGTGTGGTAGATATGGCCGAGCAGGAATGGGCCGAGTGCTAACCTACCGCCCTGCGCTAGGTAATCAGCCAGGTGGGCGAACTCCAGGGTGACCTTATTCGCCTAGGTGCAAAACACGAACTTGCAGCAGGGCGGCATGTTCAACCTCGCCGAGAGGGGCAATGGCGTCGTCTTCAACGCTGTCTTCTACGCCGAAGTTGCTGTAGAAGCTGGAGTAGTTGAGCATGTTCTTCGCCTTGCTCCCAGCAACTCTCGCAAGAGTAGGCCACGTAGCCTTAAAGCTCCCTTCCACCTCGGGAGCAACAAGGGCGGCGTTCACTTCCACGCCGAGGGGGGACAGGCCGAACAGGGCGGCCATGTCTAGAACGGTCAGCGTCATCGTGCTGAACCGAAAGTTCATGGTGTTGGTGGCCGACGACCAGAAGCACAGGGCCGCGGCCAAGAGCGACCGATCCATGACGAGCGGCCGATCGAATAACTTGCTCAGGTGGTAGATGCCTTGATCCTTCCATTGTTGAACGAAGAAATGCTCCATCCTCGGCAGCCATTTTTCCCAGTCTGGGGTCATGGTTGGCCACTGTTGCTGCGGCCTGAGGACGTTCCAGTCCTGGAAGTCTCCCCCGTCGAAGGCCGAGAGATCCACCAGATTGTTCTTCAGATGGGCCACAAGCCTCTCTGGCATTCCGCCATTGATGGAGGGGCCGAGAACGCAGGAATCAGTGGAGGCGCCATCGTCATCGGCCCAGGGCATGATGATGTCAGGGAGGATCGAGCCCTGAATATCTCGGCAAATAGCCTCGAATTCGGTTTGGAAGGTTTGGGACCGAACTTCAACAGATNNNTTAAGATGAGTGTTTAAAGGGGGGAATAAGGTCTGTAGTTTCTGGGAAAATCGCGAGCTCACGAGGGGTTCTCTGGTAACCTTGGAGGTGCGAAGGTTTGATGGGTTTTGAAGTTTGGAGAAATGGGTCTTTGGCAAAGCGTGGGCGTCTGAGGATTTTGAAAGCGAAGAAGTCTGGGTTTTTATATTGCCACTAGAATTCGAAACGAAAGGGTGTGTCTCTCTCGAGAGACGTAACGTTCTGTCAGCACGCTCAACAGGCGGAACGACGTGTCAAAAGCCCAGAGGACGTCGCTTCCTCTGACAAAGCGAAGCGACGCCCTGGGCAATGATGGCCTACACGACGTGCTTGAAGCATTAAATGCGCCGACTGGCCTGCGCATTTAATGCCACAGTTGTCAATCACTTCAGGAAGGATTGCAAAGGGTCCATCCTTTGGAATCCATTCGGCCCCTACCCATGCCGAGGCCGAAGAATCCAAGGATATGGGGGCAATGTTTGTGCCTGATAAATCTCGGCCATGAGCTGGCCGAGGGAGCCCCTTCTCTCGGCCCTTGCACTTGTTCGCAGAAGCTGAAACGCAGCGTTTCGCCAGGGTATTTCGCCTTCCTAAAAATAAAAGAAGAAATGCCAAGGCATGATCATCTCGGCCTCAAGCGTAGGCCGAGGCCGAGGCCGAACAAAAT